GACCTCTGTCTGGACAGTTCTGATTGGCCCTGTGCTGATCACATGCACTCTCCCAAGAAAAAAAAAAACCTCTCTAGCAATATACACTAAACCGAGCATGTGCAGAATGGCTTCGGTTTAGTCGGTCTTATCAGGAGCTTGCCCCCAAGGCTCTGTTATATCAGATGATGGATTGGGGACATTTAAACAAGAAGAGGAGCAGAGAAGACAGGATCAAACAGCCTTTTTACACAATGCAGAGCATTAACCCCTTAGGGTCCACAGTGAGTATAACAAGCATGCTTTACTGCATATACAGACTTTTTTTTACTGTTGTGGGTTTAGAAACACTTTAAGTTTCTAGAAAACATATGGAAATGGGATAGGAAATTAATTCTACACACAGATGGAATTATTTCACTGCACCACTCATCAGCAGTTAGAGCAGTCTCAGTGGAGGCAGACTGTTTGTGGGCTGAACCGGTATACAAGAATGCATCAGGAAGTGGCTCATTGCAGTATGTATGTCTATGCTATGTAGGGGAAACATATTAACTTTAACCACAAACCCTTTACTATTATGGAGCAATAATATTAAATTGTATATTTGAAGATCCTTCATTGTGCACTGTACCTGAAATATAGGCCTAGGTGTATCAGTGAAAGACGCCATTCCCCTGTCAGTGAGGATGTAGAGCTTCATGTCCCTGACCAGAACAACATCACTGCTCTCCGTCAGGCCTCGCTCCACTCGAACTGCACTCCCCTTACATTTTGACTTCAGAATATTCCATATAGTGACCACACCAGGTCTCACACTCCTGCAGATCGCATATCTAAGATGAAAAAAGCACAAAGTCAAAATTCACAGTAATAAACTTGAAAAATAAATATTACTTTTTTCATATGAGGCTATCAGAAAAACTATTAATTTGTGCATTATCACAGACACAACGTGGAATGCTAGGCCAATCAAAAATTTCTCACATTTTAACTTAGTGTGGTCAGAGACGGTTTCAGATTTGTTGCTATGGATTTACTGCACTTAAAATGTAGCTAAAGGCAAAACTTGTTTTGTTTTTTTTTTTTAGTTTTGGCTAGGGTGGTGTTTTGGCTAGGGTGGTGAGGGATTAGAACACCTGTCAGTTTTTTATTTGTGTCTGTGCCCCCAATAAGAAGATTCACCCTCTCTATTTGTCCTGTTTACCATTATCATCAAAAGTGAAAGTAAAAGAAAAGCCCAAATTTTGGGCTGACATCAGAACACTAATAGAAGAGAAATCTTCCAATGGGGACCCTAGTTCTGGTGACCCTGGATTCCCTCACTTTAGAGGGATTTCTTCTCACTTCCTGTTCTGGTTATGGGACAAGGAAATGAAGTGAAATCTCCCTAATGGGACACAGTTGGCAAACAAAATGACAGGGATTTTAACCCTCCATTACTCTATGCAAGATGAAAAAAAGTTTTGCCTTTAGTTATACTTTAAAGTAGAACTCCAAACATTACTTTTTAGCTTTGGATAACATGAGTATTGCTGTTTCTGTCCTTATTATGGTGATTTGTTTTATAGCTTTCTAAGGGAAAAACTCCATAAGGGACACTCAGAGAGCATTAAAACAGCTTTTTTTTGGCATAATGGAAAAGGTTTACATTTTTGTTAGGGTTTTATTAAAGGAAATGCCCCTACTTTTCATCATTTCTTGATTAATGGATAGGTGTTTGCAAGACAAGAGGACAAGGAAATTTTCCCTTCCAGGTACATAGACAGTAATAAAAGTTTGATAGCGCTACAACCCCCAATTATACACGTGTCTAGAGCTTAACGTACAGATTCTCCTAACTCTTCAAAATGCTTACTTCAGTAAGCCTAATTTTCTTGTATATACCTTTTCTAGTCTAATACTGTACTACTACTACCGCTACAACAGCAAAAATTATTCTTTATTGGAAATTACTATGCCTTATACCAGTGGTGTATTTTGGTTTTCTGCTGCCCTAGGCAACACAAAAATCAGACCCCCCCAGCGGAAAGAGCCTGACATTGACCAACAGCAAGTAGCTGTCCACTAACACACATTCCCCTCCCTTCGGCAAGAGACAGAAAGGCACCTTCATAGCTTTGGATATCCCTGGGAATGAGAGTCGGGCTCTGCATACACCATCAAGCAGCCTCTCTCAGTACCCACCTGATCTCTATGCCGCAAGTGTCCCTTCTTCCAGGGGACGTTGCTGCCCCCCTGAAAAATGCCGCCCTAGGCAAATGCCTTGTTTGCCTTGTGATAAATACACCCCTGCCTTATACTGTAACTCTAATATACAAGAAAAATTATAAATTGGTCTAGTCTGAACCCCAAGCTATATGCAGACATATAGACTGCAAAGCATGCCTTAAAATCATTAGTTAGTGTGACTGCAGTTACTGTTAATGTAAGTCTATCATTATGTTCAAAGTATAAATCCGCCCCTTACCGCATAGAGAAGGCAACTGCAGGTGGTTGCAAGACAAATTAGATTCTCTGCAGAGCATCCCATGAGCACTTACTACTGGGGAACCCTGAAATCCAAACAGTTCTGTGATCACAATCTCTGCCTGCCACCTCCTGCTTCCTGAACCTTACTCTTGGTTAGTGAGCTTATTCTTCACAGTCATTGGCCAACAGTAAGGCTTAAGAGGCAGGAGGATGCAGATGGCCACATGAAGGTCCAGTATTTGGGACTTGCAGGGCATTCTGCAGGCAATCTAACTGGATTTGCTGGTCCTCCCTATGTAGTAAGTACTGTAGAAAATGTCTAATTTTAATATTGACACCATTTTACTTTAAACTGCAATTTTATGAGAATAACCTTACAGAGAATAGTCATATAATTCTCCCACAATTTCCTAAATCCAAGATTCATTACCTACTGTAACTCATTACAGTCAATGAATAAATTGGTAGTGAAAGTATTCAAACATTGTATCGCAAATAAAATGTTTTCATGGGGTGTCTGGCCTGTTTGTCTTTTGTGATACCATTGTAAACTTTTCATTGTATCATCAGTGAAAAATAAATGTAATTATTCATTTGTTTTATCATCTACAGGAGGCAGCATAAGAGAGGGGACCCTTGTTTTGCTTCATAATGGCCACAGCAAGGAGCAGAACCAAGGACTGCAATGGTGGCATCTTTCCATAAGTTTGTCCAATATTTATATGTCCAAAATTCTAACATGTGAGCAAACAAAGCCTTTGAGGAAATCCCTGGTGTGAAGACGGCTCTGTAAGTGCAGTCACCCACCTCGGAAAGTTCTTCATTGTAACAATCTCTTGGATCCCGTCAGTTCTTTTATTCCTGTTGACGTTGATAGTCAGTGATTGGTCATTTAAACGATTCACTAGGTTCCATGACTTTAAGAAATTCTCTCCATCACAGAAAGCTAGACAATAGCGAAGATCGAAACATATTCCTAGAACATTAAAATCGATGTTGCAAGTTAATGGATCTTATGATCTAATATGTTTATTAACACGGTTTCTAAATAATATCCTGTTGTAATTTTATTGAAATTCAAACCAGATTGCTACTGCATAGGCCAAACAATCCTTGTATTTTGTAGACTGTACTCTGGAGCTGCAATTTTTTAATATACAATGCTAAGAAAGAGCACACTTGTTACATGTTCCCTTCACCGCCTCTGAAATGTAGTGAGAGTTTAGACAGCTGCTGGCTGGCTTCACATATCACATGGCAAGCATGCTAGGAGCAGTCAGTAATCAATTTAAAATTTGTAATTCTTATCAGTGTCACTGCCTAATGAAGTAGGTAAGGTCAAGATTTTCACACCAGACTCAAAAATACCCAACTCAAATACCCAATGACCCAACTCAAAAATAATTTTCAATATTTTTAAAGTCGGAAACTTTCATGAAAATATCTGATGATTCTGCTATGAGGGTCCTTGTTAAGGCATTTATCTTTTATAAAGCGACAATGCTCTCTTTCTGTCTCTCATTTGTGCTCTTGCATTGTCACTGTGCCATATGGGCTTCCAATGAAGACTACAAGTGGCTATTCTCTGCCTGTTACACAGGCATGGTTCACTGTTGTCACCATTAAGGAAACCCACCCTGGGAAATGCCATGTAACAATTACTGGAGTGTAATGCAAAGAGCCTACAGGAAATCAGCAGCACTGAGATGCTACATAGAGTGAAACATTGCGTATATGATTTTGATTAAAAAAAATATATATATATATACACACAAAGAGAGTGATGGCTAACAGTGCCTTCTGCATTAATAATGTATGTTTAGTTTTTTTTTTTTTTGGGAGGGGAGTTTAATCAGAATAACCATATACATTATATTTCACTCTAGTTTCTGTGTATGGTTTGTAATTACATACATATTTGCTTGTTACAGTTACACATTTCCAGCTTTGCAGTGCCAAACTATGCTTGTAGTTTACTCTTACAATTTAAATTGATAAGCCAACTCATGGAGAATAATGCATTCCCAATGTGGGTGATAATTAAATAACTGTTAAAGACCAACTTTACTTTCAGTGGGGTTGTACATTACAGTCTCTTTACTGTCTCTCAGTGTCACTCATATAGCTTGATACTTAACTCTGGCAAAGCTCCAGAGATCTTTACAGAGCAGCCCTGCCACACAACCTTTGCAAGAAAAATGCCATGCCTGTGCGCTATGCATGCGTAGTGTGCTTCTGGTCCTATTTATTCCTAATGCTGGAGCTACACTCATAGTAGCTCCAGCCATGCAATGGGGCACAGCCCCTAGGAATGAATGACAGTTATTTATGATGATTTTCAAACAAGGTATATGCTAAGGGCCTTCAGTGGGTCTTATGGTAAATATAATGAATTATACTTTATTTTATTTCTTATATTTCTTATAATATTATTTATGTTTAGGGAGTTCCACTAACCTCCTGTAGGCACAGAAGACAACTTAACCATATGTTTTATGGTCCTCAGTTTCCAAATTCCACACCACTATCTCTGTGGTGTTTGTTTTAGGCAGGCAAGAAAAAGCAACCACATGAGATCCTTGATGGTTTACTGAAAACTTGGTGATGAAGTCATTGCCACAGCCTTTCACAGTGCGAATATATGCAAACGTATTCACACTGAACAGCTCAATGTGAATTATGTCATGTGATTTCAGCGATGGATACCTGTAACATATTTCAGAATGATGAGGTTTTTGTTAAACAAAACAATAAGGACAACTGATAAACATTTTAGTTACCATAGGATAGAATTCACATATACATGTGTTCTTTTTTTATGTCCTTTGCTAAAAAAGCTCATGAATGGTGAAAGGACTACTTCAATGATTCATACACAAATTTATCCACTGAGCACTTGGCATTCCATGGTGGTGGTTGGTGCATGGTCTTTCTAATGAAAGAAAGTTGTACAAGTACGCACCTTCACATTGTTTATATATAACAGGGAAAGACAATGATCTAGGCCAGGCATCATGAAATGGTGGTCTGCAGCCTGCATCCAGACTGAGCCACTCTTCAATCAAAACCTGCAGACATGCCATTTAGCAGACGCTTCTTTCCACCCGCCTCCGCCGCTGTTATTATAACAGCGAAGAACATTTCTGGATCGAGTGTGGGAGTCACAGCACTGAATGGAGTGGAATTTCAAGAGGGCAAAGCACACAACTGTGTGTGTGTGTGTGTGTGATGTCAAGCGGTGGGCAGTGCTCTGTGGGGGGGATGTAAAATGTGAAAAGGGGTTAGGGCTGGGGGGGTGGAAGGGGTGACAGTGCTGCGGGGGGTTATGTAAAGAGAGGAAGCAGTGTTGTAGGGGGTGATGAAAAGGGGGACAGTGCTGTGGGGGGGGGGAGATGTGAAGGGGGCAGTGCTGTGGGGTGGGGGCGGGGTTGATGTGAGAAGGGCAGAGCATACTACTGTGGGGAGGGATGGTTGTAGTTTGAGAGGGGGGCATTGCTTTTTGGGGGAGGATGTGAAGGAGGGCAGTGCTGTGGGGTGGGAGTTTGAAGAGGGCAGAGAACACTACTGTTGGGGGGGATTTGTGAGAGGGGGACAGTGTGTGGGGGGAGATGTAAAGGGGGGTAGTGTTGTGATGGAGTGTGAAGGGGGCAAAGTTCTGCTGGGGAGTGATGTGAAGGGGCAGAGGACTGTGGGATGGGGGTGATGATTTGAAGGGGGGTTGAGGACTGTTGCGAATAAAAGGGGGTGAGTGATGTGAAGGGGGTTCAGTACACTATTGTAAAGGGGGTGGGGGTGATGTGCAGAGGGCCTACGAACACTACTGTGAAGGGGAAATTGAGTTGTGGCAGGGAGGATACAGATGTAAGGGATTGTGATGCAGGAGGAAAAGGCTGAAAACACATGCGGTTTGGACCTCTACTGGAAGAAAATTTTATTGGTCAGAAAATACCCCTAATCTAGAGTAACTTCTGATGGTGTCCTCTTCCAGTGGAAAATAGTTGCAATCCATCTCAGCAATTCCATTGTCCCGTTGAGAAGGCTCAGGCATAAGATATCTGCAGATGTTAGAGAAAGCCTACATACTCGTACAAACATTCCCAATCTGACTGTAATGGGCAAATTTCATTCTACTGGCATTAGTTCCTTAAGGCATTGACAGTGAATTTGTTGACATATGTTTATAAAAATGCAGATGGGATAGCACAAGTACTTGATAGGATACTGTGTAGAAAGAAATAAAATTTGTGCATGTTACCGTACTGAAACATGTTAATGAACATTAATGTAACATTATTATATTTAACATTAATATAAGTATTTCAAATGCTCTACTGCACAAAACAGGTTTTGTTATTAGGTATGTTTCTTAGCCAATTTGACAATAGTTTTTTGTAGACTACTTAGTGTCTGCTAACAGTGAACTCGTGCATAGGTATCAAATAACTCAAATGTCTGATAAATACCCCCAGAGAACATTTTTTGAAGTAGATAGAAAATCCAGTTATCGTATGACCACATCTCTGTGTTCCCACATGGTCTCCACATGGTCCAAATGTTTTCTATGGCTCACAGTTCTAATGCTCCCTCTCTAACGGTAATAAATACATAGCTGCACTATATGGTATCTTTTATACATAGTTCATTGTTAAGCAGTGGGAGAGAGGATCAGAGTTAAAGCAGCAGTTTAATGTTTTAGTGTTGTGGAGAATAAAAGTTGAGGCTATGGTTTAGGGCAGGGGTAGGCAACCTGCGGCTCTCCAGCTGTTGTGGAACTACATTTCCCATGAGGCATTGCAAAGATTACAAAACTGACAGTTACAGCTATGACTTGCAGAGGCATGATGGAACTTATAGTCCTGCAACAGCTGGAGAGCCGCAGTTTGCCTACCCCTGGTTTAGGGGTTACATATTGGGAGGTGGATAGAAATTAATGCAGCAGATACAGGGTTAAGTATTTAGGTGATGGGGTTAAGTGTGAGGGTGGAATTTATTGTTAGGGACAGTATTTGCTGTACAATGTATGTACTGTCACTTGGTTTTAGTGCCCAAAAAACTACATCATGAAATAAGAGCATCAGACAGCTAACGCCAAACATCAGTTTATCACCCTCAGCTGATCCATAGATGTGATGAAGCCTCCTTATACACATGCCAAGTACTATTTTATTAGCTGCTGATCTGTGGATTTTTTTCAGTGTAATGGGACATTGATTCTCTGTTCTTTGGTTGCAATTGCAACATGCATCCTGCCAAATTGATGACTATGTGGATATTGAGCAGAGCACTGTAGTCATTTTGCATGGGTTAATTAGCAGCAGATATGGTCTATAATCCGTTGCTTCATTTTACCACTACATATCTGTACTACCAAATCAGTCACCAACATATACAATAATTGTAGTCTAATATATCTTTTTTTTTGGAGTTCTGACCATGTGGAGATAATTCTGGAAAGACGCATGCAAAGAGATTATCATTATGAGAAGGATTTTCATGCTAATTAATCAGGTGGATATCAATTGAGCACTAAAGCTATTTACTACCTTTGTATGGATCCATTATCAGGAGAAACGGAAAACATTCTACTTTGTCCAATATTTCACTCATGTACGGTAGAAAAAAGGTGAAAGGTCATATGCAATTAAACAGATATGTAAAGCTAAAGGCAAAATTTATTGTGTAAACTGTAGTATTTCATGTGGGTTTAAATACATGCATTGATGTGTAATGTGTTGTCAGGCCTTTTTGTTCCAATGTCTTTTTTCTTCCTTGCTTTTCAGTCATCCGTCATTGTGTAGGACTTCTCATAGGCTTCACCTGCTCTGTGTACTGATGTGACCCCTATGGCACAACTGATTAGCTGTTTTGTTTTTAACTGTTTGTGTTAGTTTATAGTCATTTTTATTTCACCCTTCTTAATTACTGTCTCTGCTATTGCACAGTATATTTTTCCTTTTGTTCTTCAGGGTTTTTTCTGCACTTAGCTTCTGCCTTGCAGCTGTAGGGCCATTGGTTCATATCCCAACCCTGTGCTTCTGTGGCTTTCCTCCAGGTACTTTTTTTCTTATCTATACACAAATATTTTGCCTTTCATTTCTTTTTTTTCTCCCATAATACACCTTTCATTTCTATGTTAAACTGAATGGGTTGTTTTAGAAGGTGAGTGTTTACAATTACTTTAATAAATTGTATGGTCTTTTTAAAAGAATTTATAAAAGTAAATTACAAACAGATTAACAAGAGATGTGCATTTAATTTTCCAGAGCCTACCAACTCTACACATTGAATAAGCACTGGACTCATATCTTACTAACAGTGATTCAAGGTACCACAATGACAATGAAAAAAAAAAAGACGCCAAATTAATCTTCCTCTTCACCCATTAATACTAAGGGTATTCCCTGGGCAAGGGGATCCAGAAGCTGCCAAAAGATTAAACAGTCCCGGCCAAGGAGCTAGTTGGGTTCTCCACCTGATTGCTCTCCCCCCTTATCTGCCCCAGGGGGTGTAAGGTGACTCACACTGTCCTTCCTGATAGCTTTATGAGTTGGTGGCTGCCTTCAGGCCTTCTACTGGGCTGGTTCCTTACCTGCTGCTCAGGCTGTCCCTTTTAGTAGACGGTGACACAGTTTAGGTCCCTTCTTCCAGATCCAGCCTGTAGGTAGGCCCCTTCCCTTGAGCCCCTCCCAGGCTCCACACTCCAGCCTCCTACTCCATCTTCCATCCGACACACACTGATCCTTTCCTGCTGAACAGGCTCAATCATATCTGAGGATTGTCCTGACCCCATGCCAAGCCTTCTGCTTGGGGATTGGTCAAGATCCCTCAGACATGCAACCCCTCACCACCCCCACCCACTGCCTTCTAGAAAATTCTTAAGTCTCTAGAGCAGAGGTAGGTATCAGGGAACTGATCTGCAGAGCCCCCTTATACCCAACTCAAGGTGACCGGTGACCTAGCTGACTTACACCCAGGCTGACTCATGCCCAGGCTGCTATTCAGCCTCTAACTAAAAAACCTAGCTAGCTCCCCCTGGCTAACTAGAGAGGCACTACAAATAAAAATAAGGTTATTTGTGCTTTCTGTTAAGTTCACAGAAAGTGACAAGGATACTGCATTTCAATATCACTTGCTGAGAATGTTCCTAAACATGTAAGGGCTGGTAAATTGCAGTGCATTACATTTTTATTTTTGAGTTTAGATAAGCATTAACCACTACTGCTTATTTAGGCCTCTTGCACGTGACCATAAAGTACAGTGTATGTATAAAACACCTTGCGTGCATACCCATGAGCACCAGCATGTACTCGCGCACATGCATGAGTGTATTTTTCCAAACTTAAAATTTTATATTTTCAAAAATATGCTCATACGTGTGCACGAGTACATGCCACCACAGATATATTTTATACTATACGACCACACACTGTACTTTACGACCTTGTTCCAGCGACCTTAAATAAATGGACCAAATCATATAGTTATCACCTTATTTTTGCTGTTCACATTATTCACATATAAAATATATAATATTGAAGATATTTCAGGGATTTTATTTTTAAATTAATTATTATATTTTATTATCTAGTGAACTTACTGGTAGGTGTATCATGTTATAATGTATATGTTTTACAGTTTTATGTAATACTTGCTGCAAAGAGAACTGCCATGCATTACTCCAGTACAACCAATAAGAAAGCAGCTGTAATTATTAGGACACCACGAAAGCATCTTTGCACACTATGAAAGTTCTTACATAAGCTCATGTAGTGTAATTTATCTTCAGACAGTGATGGAAAGAGTAATGTCAGTAGGTCATTGGTCACTGTATACCTGCAGATGACTAGGAAATATTCCTTGGTTACAGCCACACCCTGTACTGAAGCTACTGGATCTTGAGCAGTGAGTTTGGCAACAACAGCCCCTCGTCTGGCACTCAGCACCATGGCTTCCTTCCCACTCCTGTCACAAAAAAGTAAAAACAAAGAATAATGTCTCTATTGCACATTCCTCTCTGCATAGTCATGTTGCCATATGACCCTGAGAAAACCATGCAGTGGCTGGAAAAAAAGTACTTTGCTGTTATTTGACTTATCTTTTACATTTGCCAGTCCCTTTTTCCAACTAAAACAAGCCTTAGTATGAACATCTTGAATTACCACAGAGGTACTTCCCATAATATCTCATACTCATACGAAGATCTAATGTTTTGTCTTAAGTAAATCAACTTCTATGCCTCTTCCAACATCAGATAGAAATAATTGAGGCAGAGGCATATCTAGAACCTTCAGAACTCTGATGCAAGAAACCATAAAGGGCCCCCCCCGACCCTCAGCCGCCCCCCCCCCAGGGGTGGAACGCCAGGGTCCAGTCGCAAATGCGACCCTTGGGACCCTGGTAGTTCCACCACTGGTGTAGAGTATTTTTTTGTTTTTATTTTAATTTTTATTATTTTTTTACCACTTTATTTTTTTTTTTTATTATTTGTACAATTTTTAGGAGCCCTGTTGGGGGACATTTGGTGAAATATCAGGGGTCTAAACAGACCTCTGATGTTTCACCTTTGAGACATAGAAAATAGATTAAGGACACAGCCCTCAATCTCCTTATCTGCAGCCTCAGTTGTACGAATGAATTGACAGGAAAAGCTTCCTGTTCATTCATAAACTGAACCATAGTAAACACAGTTTATGGATGGGATCACTGACCTTGAAGAGAAGGAAGGGGCCAGTAAATGACACATTTACTGGCCCCTTCCCCGATGTCCATCCTGACAGATCCCCCACAGTAGCCGGCGGGAGAGGGGAGGGGGGAACCCAGCAGCGCTGTAGGCGATGAGGGGGGAAACCGGAGGATCACTCAGAAGCACTGGGCAGCAAGATGTGGATAAGAGGGATGGCAAGGAAGCATGTAGTGCAACTAATCCCCTTTAATTTTCCTCCTGCAGCCACTGAAAGGCTGCAGGAGGAAAATGGAGGGGATCGGTTCCTCTTCATTCTGCCCCCATTGCACCTCCTATCCAGATATACAGGGGGCAGCATGGGCCCCATGAAGCATTGGGCTAGGTTGCCATTGTGACCCCTGTACGTGCCCCCCTGAATTGAGGATAAACAGTGGGGTTAGTTTACTGAAGGCAAATAATTTGGTTACATTGCAAGGGAAATGCACTTTACAAGGGAATTTCCCCCAGAGCTTAGTGAATGAGGTGAAATTTCACTTTGCAAAAAATAGCATTTTTGCTTGCACATGATTGGATGATGGAAGTCAGCACAGCTTTACCTCAGCACAGTTTCTCCTCATTCACTAATCTCTGGGGATAATTCCCTTGCAAAGTGGACAGTTTACTTGCCTTTAGTAAATCAACCCCAGTGTTTTCTCTTAAGGTGTCAAATAATCAGAGTCTCACTTTCCTTTCGGGGAAGGGTGGGGCATTGCAAGCAAGACTCTGATGGCTCTTGTGGGCAGTAACATCAGTACTTGCTTTACATTATTTAACATGGTCTAAAGCTAATTTACTAAAAGAATGCACAATGCAACAACTAGATACAAAAGTGCAGTAACCTATAGTAATTAATTAAGTTTAATGTTGCCATGTTTAAAGCAGAGTGCTTTTGATGGATGCTATGGGTTACTGGGCTGCATGTCACGTAAGCACATGTGCATGCAAGACAACCTGATTGTTGCTGTCCCTGCAAAATCCATGCCCCCCAACACCACTAGTGCTCCCCCCACAGTACAGGACATTGTGGTGACACCCTGGGGCAAGTACATTATACCCTACACTCACTGGATGTCCTTGGCCTTCTGGTTTAAATGGTGCTCAGAAAACTTGAGGACAATTAGTGATGGAAAGGGAATACAGTGGGGGACAGCATCAAAGAAGGGGTGAAAATAGCTTACGCTTGGTTCAAATCTGTGCAGGTGGTGCCTCTGCGGGACCTGTACAAATCCGTGCAGCCACACCACCCACACAGAGGAGTATGGGACCCGCGGATGTGTGCCATTACTTGTAATAACACGCTGCCCGCACTGGAAATCGCAACAGTACTGGGAACTTTGGATCCCGCACAGGCTGCGGTTTACGAAAAAGTGCAGGGACTTCTTCCCTGTGTGTCCTGGGGCACGGGAGTCCATTCAAATGAATGGGCTCTCATGCCTGTGCTAATCGCGGCCCGCATGGCCGCACATATGGGAACCTGGCCTTAATCCCCCTAATTAGGAGACTATTTTTATGAAAAAGGAGCACAATTTAACTGGATCTCAAAGACAGAGTACTGGTCCAGACCTGTACTTCTCTCACTTGTTGCAGACACCCAGGGTGCCTATCTCTGTTCACCATCAAAGAACACCGAGGAATAGGAGTTGCACACCAATTCAAATTCTTGTGATCAAGCCCGCAGTGGTGAAACGCATTAAGGCTTGGTTCACATCTCTGTACGGGTGGTGCCTCTGCGGGACCCGCACAAATACCTGCAGCCGCACCACCCACACAGAAGATTTCGGGACCCGTGGGTGGGTGTCATTAATTCTAATGGCACACCGCCCACACTGGAAATTGCAACCGTACTGGGAACCTTGGTTCAGTGATTTCTGAAAAAGTGCAGGAACGTCTTCTCTGCGTATTCGGGGTACGGGAGTCCATTCAAATGAATGGGCTCTTGTGTCCGCGCAAATCGCAGCCTGCATGGCCACACATACAGTATGTGAACCTGGCCTAAGTGGCAGTCCCTGGGTGTGGACACCATTCATGCAACTGTATTACTGACGGCTGAGTAAATAAGCTTCTGGAAGAGTGGACTGCTGTGCAGCTCCTATTTCTTGGTGACATGTTTGTAAGCAGGTTTCTACAGAGTTATTACTGTGTTGGTTGTGTTTACATTTTATGGGTTAAATGTATTTTCTACAGTGTTTCCCAGCAGGGGGTGATGCTGTTTGTTAGGCAAGGGTTAACTCTGCTGGCCAGGCTTTTCCTGGGCTTTTCTGAGAAATACTGCCCTCTGCTGGACAAAGCATATAAAAAGGGAAAATGTGTCTAGGTAAAAGGGCCTGTTTGCTCTCACATGGGGAAGGAGAGTGCTGCTGAGGATGTAATCTCCACTTTGCTGCCTTGCCACTGCTTGTGGAAACCCAGCCGGGGTTCCAGGGGATGTGGACTTATGCTGCTAAATGTACTTATGATCTTATAGACTTTCTCAGCTAATTAAGGCATGACTATTTCATGGGGCAGAGGGTAGCACCAGGGGCATAACTAAAGAGCAGAAACCTCCAAGGGGTACTTAGAAGAGCATGTACAGGAATTTCTATGGAAGATGATACTGAGAGCTGTTCATCTGTTCTATTTAACTCCTTCAGTAAAGAACTTTTATGGGGAAGCTAATCTGCCTGGTCTGGTCACCAAAGGGGTGCATGCATGGTGTATCAAAGAACAGGGCTTAGAAGGGCAATGAAGAGGAGTCAGTGTGGACAAATAACAAAGGTCTAACCTGCAGCAGGAGAAAAGGCTATATTGCCATTGCTAGGGGCAACCAGAGTAAAGTTGGGTGCTGAATCAGCCAGCCAGCGTGAGTCATAGTGAAATGGTACGGGTAATGGAGGGCCCTGGTTGTGAGGGGGTTTTTGATCTTGGCCCCCTCCCTACCGATCAATGCCCAACATAGAGGGACCGATATCGGGGCACGGTGTATTCCAGGTAGGTTGAGATGTTACAGAAGAGGAGTAGAGAGAGAAAATGAGCTCGGGAATGGAGAAGCTTGGGAACATGTGCAGACATGATATTGGGTGTCAGGGAGAAGTACCATTGGGTCACTGGGACTAAGGTCACAGGTCTGGCAGTGCTGGTGTAGTAGGATACAGGCTCCGTGGTACCCACTCAGAATTGCTGCATCCAATGGGAGAAGTTTAGGGACGTTAAACATAAACAAAGGGTTAACCCGTCCAAGAGATATCCACTCGCTTCTAAGTTAGAGTGCTGCCTTAATGCTGATTTCATGTGATCGCAGCCTCAGCCTGTAGTGCAGGTATTAGCGAGCGTTGTTCTGTGACTGTACCAGGGTCTGGAGAGTTACCGAAACATTTGGAGTAGAGTGTGCTCATTTTTAAGTTGGACTTCACTTTTTGTTTTAATAATATCCATCTTCCCCTATGCACCAAGATACTATTAACGTACCTCAGTTGCAAAAATATTTAAGCTCTTTTTGATCTGGAGAGCAAGGCCTTACCTTAGCCCTTGGTAAATTTCTTAGAAAGCTTTTTAAATTCCTGGAATGTAGACAGAGGACAGAGGAGCCAGTAGGACCCCAGAAGCAGATAACCAGCTGATCTCATTAGCACACATATCCTGCACTGACCTCATTAGTACACACCCTTTTCTCATCAACTATTTTTTCACAGCATCCCTGGGATCTCTCCCCACGTGCGTTTGCCTGGCTACCCCAGCAGCGTTCCTTCAGACAGGCTCAGGCCGTATGCAGCCCATGGGACACCCCTGGTGTAATGCAAGAGACTGCTTTTATTATTATTATTATTATTATTATTAGACAGGATTTATATAGGGCCAACAGTTTGCGCAGCGCTTTACAAAATGAAGGTAGACATTACAGTTACAATACAATTTGGTACAAAAGGAAACAGAGGGCCCTGCCTGATTGGATATAGAGTGATTGGATAGAGGCTGTGTCCTCTTTATTATATATTTTTGGTAAATCAAAACGAAATTGTACAGACATTGTACAATCTGATTGTATAATGTGTGGCCACATTTATACACCTAAAATTAACTATGTATAAAGGTGCAGCGCTTATATATTATACAATAAAATATGTGAAAAAGAAAATCTCTATGTGGACTTATTATCAATCAAACATATAAGTGAAAATAACCATAAATAAAGTCCAAAGAGTGAAGTGTTCTTCAGTGTTAATAAAATCAGGATGTGGGGGCACCCAACAGGAGGGAGGGGCCC